ATATATATTCCGTTCAGCAGCCATGACCAACCATTGAGGTAGCCAGGTGAGGGAGGGGCTTGCATGTTGTTGCAGACCTGATTCTATCCTGGTTACAAAAACGATCCGAATCTACCACTACCCTTGGACATGGTGCGGTTTGTTCGGAAGTAGCTACCGTATTCAGAATGACCTTGCCCTAAGAAATCCCCTGAAGTGGTTAGTCTAAAAAGCCTTTGTTTCATGAGGTGATGGCGTTCTCTGCTAAGAGTTCATGGCTGGTTGTTCGATAATCGCCACTTGGTGCGGATTGACGGATTATGTTTTAGCCTGCGTGCATACCACAAATTGTCTGGCGGTGACTGCTGACGGAACTGTTCGAGAATAGTCACCGGGAGGAACCACGTTCGGCAGAAAGTATCGTAATTCGGCATGCTTCATGAATTAAAGTTTGATGCTCACCCCCTACCCTTAGTGAGGTAGCAGTGTAGCTGATGACTTAAAGTTTCATTCCACCTAGCCAGCCCATTTCGATCAGCCATATGATATGACCTGGCAACGACGCATGAAAGCCCGGACCAGCAAACACCTATTGTCTTCCTGTATCGAGACCTATGAACGAGTTGATACCGACAAACAACCTAATCACGCTAGCAGTGGTGCGCATGCGTCAAGTTTATCGCTTTCATTTCGAAGCCGCCCCGATTCTTCCAACATGAATTAAATTGAAGGATTCGAAGTCATCGTATCCACCCCTTCATTGCCTCTAATGCATGGCCGTTCTCCTAGCATCTCTCCCCATCCACGCTGGGCCAAACTCCAGCATCTTGAACTAACTTACGTTTACACAGCATTCATTGTCAAAAGACCAAATTGTACTGGCTTTTGCCACCTTTAAGGCAGGATCGAAATCGGTTATTGTAGGCGATGGTCACTGTATCAGGGCTCTTCTGTACTTTGATATAATTACCATAAATTCGCACCCGTTATTTATGTTTGGTTTGTTTGAGCCAACATTTTCTCACCGTTTTTCTGTAGGGTTATCTAGTGAAACGTGGAGGCCCTCTTTTGACGAACTCACCCTTCTCCCTCACATCAGTTCTGTGGTCCCACTTTCCACCAAAGTCGGTGGTCGTCGTAAGTGTATACTTAGCGTATCTTGTTTTTGATACTCAAACTTGAGTTTCAACCGCACCCGCTTGATATGACTAACTCGGCAGGCCGTTTTCCCCGAAGATTGATAGCGTACGCACTCATCGGTTAGTAGATAATTTGCCCCGAGGTAGGGTTGGTTGGAATGCGTAAACAGGATCATTTAACCGGGACGCAGAACACCCCTTTATGAAGAGATATTCTCATCGTAGTGCAACAGTTTTCCCACCTCACTGACTCATTGAACTTTGCTGGATGATGCCAGCGTAGAGTCCTTATAGTTTTCTCTACAAGGTCTGACAAGTTCAGTCTCCTGGACATCTAGCCTAGGTGTTGTAACATGTTTGGCGACTTGTACCCTAAAGGCCTTCTGACATTGTGTCTATGTTAGGGAGCTTCGTTAGTATCTCAACCCATTTACACGCATGAAATATGCAAAAGTATACTCATGCCAAGTCGTTGATCCATTTGATAATGTATATCGGTTGTAGGTACGTCAGAATTAACCAGTCACATGCTATTCTTCACACTTGTCGCTTTCTTCCCGCTGTTGAGATATTGTTCTCCCGTTTTTTTATCGCCATCTTTAACATGGGAACCCTCAAACAAATAGACGAACAAGCTGTCATCGTGCGCACTCTGGATGCTTAACGTATGTGCAGACCTTCGCTAAACTCCTGAAACTCAAATGCTAGATGCGACTGGAGTGATTGAGCCAACACTGTTTGCACGAAAAAAATATCTAGATATTAGCGAATATACAGTCATCTGCAAACTAATTTGGTTCTTTCGAGAGACTCACCTGGAACCCAGCTGAATCTCTCGTTTATGATGTTCTCAGGCAACTGAATGTGCTGCACCAGGCCGCCTCATGTTTCAGTCGC